AATCCAAGCCCATGCTGAAAAAGGGAACCTGATTAAGAAACCCTGGGCTTTTAATTAGGGTTCTTGACATGAGCCCTAATATATTGGGGTTACAGGGCCAGGGTTTCTTAATCAGGTTCCTACATTACTTATGACTCAAGGTGTTGTGTTGTGTTGCCAGTTTTGCTCGGAGACTCCAAAACCCCGTAATTAAGGAATATCCTTAAGTCGCTCGTAGTAGCTAGTCCCAGTGTCTGTTGCAAACCTTGAAAAATGCAGCAAAAAGCCATCTGGAAACAGCGATTCGTAGTACCACGTCAAAAACCAAGGCAAAACAAGCCAAATGTAGCTTCGCCGGAAACGTTAAAAAAACAACCCGAATTAAGCCCGACGATAAACCCAACAGGCAGAAAAAACTCGATGTGATTGGCGCTGACAGGTCGTTCTGCTGATCGTTGGCCTACGGTGGGTAGTTGTCAAAATTATGGTCCCTTTTGGGGTACCCTAAATAATAGGTGCCGTATTATAATAAGGACCCAAAAAGGGATCCTAATTTTGACAACCACCCAGGTGACTTTCTGGCTGGTCGGGGGAGGTGGGGGGGTGGGGCCTGACTGGCCAGGGCCGGGGTCAAAGGGACCGGGGCGGGCTGGGACCAAGAACGGGCGGGTGTCACAGGGTCAAAGCACGTTTTCGGGCACTTTTGTGTCACCTTCCGGGCGCGTTTTGCAGCTGGAGCGGTGCGTTTCTTGCACTTTGTTTTTGAGAGCAGAAGCAAGGCGAAAGTCGCGCCCTGCGAGAACATGAATGTGCGACTGATGAGGCTACACACAATCCACTGAAGGTGCGAGTGATTCGAAAGAGTGCTTCCACAGCCAGCCAACTGGGATCCACGCCCCGAGCCTTTGCCTTTTTTGTGCCTTTCGCGTCCCGTTATTTTCGAGCTGCTTTTCTGGCTTACATTTCTTGTCACGCCTTCCTTGTCTTTGCAGATTGCCTTTTTGATACGTTTCTTAGGGTTTGGCTTATTTGGAGCACATGTTCGGGGATGAACTCATAAAGAATATCTCTTAAAATTTCGGATGAACCCACGAGACCTCCGCCGAAAGGCTTGCTTGGGTATACCCGCAGCTTGCGCTTCCATCAGCGGACGGCAATCAGAAGTCCCATCACAGAGGTGGCCTGCCTCGTTTCTTTCAAACTTAGCCGGACCGGTGGCGAGCCATCTACGTACCACAGCCATGCGCCCGGAGGCTGTCGCTACGTTTGCCGAGCAGGCGAACGGTTTCATTGGCTTTGTTGCCAACTTCATGAGCTTCTTCGAATCGCCAAGACTCGAGATGCCCCCTACGCCCTGGATTGAATCCCGGATGTTGCTGGGTAGTCCACGAGCTCGGGATGGGGCAAGTTCCAAAGTCCGGCTCGAAGCCGAGAAAGTTGCTGGACATATGCAGACCATGGAGTTCATGGATTTCTTCGAGATTGTTTGGTGGAAGGCATTGCAAGAACAGTAGGACCCTAGCTTTGAAGTTGGTGTTTTCCGACAAGATCTCAAATTTGAAGTGGGTCAAATCTGGGTGGAGAGGGTCACCCAGCACCTGGCGTTCTTCTTGGCCAGCCCACCTCCACGCTTCGACGCCTGCTGCAGCCACATGGCCCAGCCCTGCACCTGGGGCACCCGCCTGGAGGTGGCGGTGCTGGCTGAGTGACATTTCGAACGTTTCCGTGGGCACTTCCGGGAAAATATCGGGCTCGCCAACCACGAACTCGGCGCTGACGCCTCCTGGAATGTGGTGAGAATGCGAAGAGCTGAGTGCACACAATTTGTAACTCGTACTTCAAGCTTGTGCTGGTGCTCCGAAGAGATAACCTGACAGTCGCTTGAGTTGATTTCCGGTTGTGCTAAGACCGTGAGCAAAACTTTTTTGCTGCTTGATGCAGTGGGCTCCTTTCTTTGAAGAAAGATTCCAAAGCTTTCCTTGCTCATCAACCCTGCCACGTGGGTTCGTCCTTGCGAAATAGGAATCCAAAAGGCCTTAAACCTTAGACTCTGGAGTGTGAGCGCCGAAACCCCAAGTACCTTCAACCAAAAGCTGTAGTATAACTAATCCATAATTAGGGGCTTTTTTGAGTCTTTGGGTGATGATTGAAAGTTGCAGGGGCAGGGAGCCCATGCCTTGGGGAGGTCACCTTGTCGAGCGCAACAACGAGTTCACGGCGGGCAGGGGAGGTTGCGGGTGTAGTATAGAAGCCTGAATAAATACCAATGTTAAACAATGTTATTCCATTTAATTATTACTGTAGCATAGTATACCCCGAAACTTTTGTCTAACTATTTAGGCCCCGATATTAGGACTTCGGGGTTGGGGTGTAAGGTCAGCAAGAGTATTATTATTGATATTGGTAGTCGTGGTGGTGGTGGTGGTGGTCGTAATAGTCATGTAGTCGTAGGGGAGTGGCAGCGGTAGGAAGATGCAGCAGGAGCACGAGGACGAGCTAACAAGGCCATGATGGTTCGATCATGTGGAAACACATCTGGAAAAACCCAGCTCGAAAAACCTGCGTAGCAAACAAACTTGGATCGGCTTCAGGGTCTGGAAGTGCAGTGAGATGCTGGCAGACAGGGTGAGAAGTCCACGAGCATGGGCAGCTTTACCCGACTGGCTGCGACAACAAATTCTTTCTTCCACTTCGTTCTTGGACGACGAGCAGGTGCGAGAGCGGTGGCATGGTCGGTACATCAAGCCGAAAGATTTGCACTACACCACCATGAAGGAGGCGCGCTTCAGGAATTCACGTTTCGTTCACACATGGACTCGGGTGAGGGTGGGAAGGGTTGTGGTAAAAAACTTTACGACTTGTTCCGGGACTTTGGGATGAAGTTAGCCTGATGCATTGGCATGTGACGGTACGGCATCCTCGCTCATCAGCTCCGAAACCTTAAACCAAAAACACAAAACCCAAGCATCGCAAAAAGGCAGCAATGATTCAGCACAAAGGGATCATGTTGCGAAGCCTACGCTTCGTTGACATGAGTGGTCGTGAAAGCAGAAGCAGAAACAGTGCTGATGGTGGTTGGCATGACGAGTATGGCTATCATTGCTGGTAGCAAGCAACAACCGCTCGACAAGTCTGCTGTATCTGACATATTTTTCGATATTTTTTGGTGTCAGTTGCATGTGGCAAGCCTCTGAATCGCAAACCCATGCTTGGTGCCAGGCTGTACGAGACTTGAACCTGATCCGAGTCCGGACGGCACGACAAAGCTTTTGGGAGGCAGCTGGGTGTTTATAATGTATTATGTATTATAGCAGTATGTTATAGCAAATATAACATTAAATGATGGGTGTTTATGATATGTTGTAGTATATCATTTGTATTATTGTATATTACCCGGCTACCATGAGAAAAGGAGACACCGCAGCGAAATCCACAGCAGGGTAAAGCCTACATCCGATAAACCAGCCTTGAAAAGCATACAACCAGGCTTTAAAGAGATACCAAGCTTTTGGAGCCGACGACCTTTCTCCGCAGCACAGTAGCAGAACATGGCACAACGGCACAGGAAACTGTTGCATCATGGTGTTTGTTTGGCGACAGCTGCTGCATCTAGGCCATGCATTGCTGAGCCCCGACTTGCGAAATGAACCCCAATGTCGAAACCGCAGGTCTGCTATGGTCCGTTTGGCGGTCGGCTTTTTTAGGGCCAGGGACGGAGTTAAACAGTTAAACCCCAAAGCCTCAAAACTCAAACCCTCTTCAGATGAGTTGACGAGTTGTTGTTAGTGTTGTTTGTTTGCAGACGTTGCCTGGAGTCGTCTGAGTGTGAGCGTCAAAAATGTCAAACCCTACAAGCGACGTGTTCAGCAATGCAAATACAAGTTTCGGTGCTCGTGTTCTGTTTGGGCTCATGTAGCCTGGTTCTTGTTTCTGAGGACCCCGGTAATGATAATGAAAGGTCGGGGATTAATTCCATGTAAGTGGTGCTGCCGTCAAGGGTTTGTAATCTAAATTGTACGAACAGCAATGGCATCCCACTTGCCTGCTGTCACACTTTCTTTCACCAAGCAGACCCGGATGCGAACTAGTATGTGTAGTAATGGGACCATTATTTCATAGTTTGCAGCCGGAGTTTAGGATGCTCCCGTGGCACGTCTGACCTCACAGCCTAACATCGGGGTCACAAAACGTTTTTCTAACTATTAAGGCTCCTTTTTGGGCCCTACATCCCAAACCCAGTAAATCTCCACTGGCTTGGTGCACTCGAGCTTTGGCTGCAGGTTTCCTATGTGCGGCACAAGGGCAAAGCCAGTGCAGCAGGTCTACTCGCAGGCAGCATGGCCACTTGGGGCCCGTCATCCAGCACAGAGGTTTGGGGTTTCGGACCTTCGGATTGGTCCTCTAAGGCCCTAAACCCTTACTACAGTTTGAAGACGATTGCTTTGAGAGTGAGAGTTGGGGAAACTGAAGGCTTTGCAAGCCCCCTGAAAGCTCCAGCAGAAGAGGAAGCAGGCAATGCAGAACATAGAGGCCTGAACAAGTCTCCACATCATTCCTTCGGGTGCCAAACGATAACTATACTATTTGCTACACTCGCCATCACCTTCGGGCCCTGTCTGAACCCGCGGAGAGATGTTTTGGTGCTCCTCAACAGATCCGGGCGCTCTGACGCAGGGGATGGGGTTTAGGGTTTAGGGTTGCATCCTTCTGACCCAACAAAGAAAGGGAGAGACAGCTTGGTTGGGATCAGACGTAAAGAGCCCTAATCTCGAAGCCTAAGCGTAAAGACTTTAAGGCGGAAGCAGTAAACCTTAATAATCCCTAGAGCATAAGCTTGGAGCGACGTCCATGGGCCGTCAGACTCCCTTTCTCCAATCAAGCAGTCTTTGTCAAATGCCGCCTGTAAGGCTTACTTTTGCCCCGGACAGGCCGAAATCTGGGCCCTTAAACTGCAAGCAGAGCCGAGCACACGAATTCTTCTTAACGGACCCACAGGCTCGGAGTAAGCCTGCTATCGTCGTTCTGAAGCTTTCGGAAGAATTGAGCAGCCGATGCAAGCGCTTCACACTCAGGCCCTGCTTCAATCATCCCGGCCCGTGTTTCACATGTACACCATTGAGCTACTCCAGAGTTGGACTGAAGCATGAGAGAGATCCTGGCTTCCTGAAGCAACTCATTGCCGCAGTAGGGCCCTGAAGGCCACCGGATCATCGACCTCAGCGTGTCAGTGAAGCTCGACTGACTCCGGCGCCTGCTTTCGGGCGGTGACGGCGAATCCCTGGGCCCGCTGAAGCCCCAAACCCTCGAAGCGCAGACAAGGTTCTTGCTGCCTTGCGGTGCCCGAGCTCCTGAACCCTAAACCCTAAACCGGCAACCTTAAACCTTAAGCCCTGAACCCTCCCTGATCCCTCCCTGAACCCTAAACCGCAGCGTGACAGTCTAGACCCCAGCGGGGTATGTCTGGAGAGCTCAGGAAAGACCCGACCGAGGTCGACGAGGTCTTCCGGAAGATTAGGCAGGCACCTCATAGCAGACTAGAGAATGGTATAGCGTAGCATGGTTTAGTATGGCATGGTATGTGTATGGGTATGGTATGGGTATGGTATGGGTATGGTATGGGTATGGTATGGGTATGGGTATGGGTATTATGGGTATGGGTATGGGCACGGTTATGGGTTATTAGGGGTTATGGGTTATGGGCATGGGTAGGGGTATGGGTATGGGTATGGTCTGGTGCGATGCGGTATGTTATAGCATCGCATGGCATGGTGGCATGGCAAGGTATGGTACAGTATAGTACAGTATCATGACAGCCTCTGGCCTTCAAGCTGTGCAAGGTCCACAGCCCGTTGCTGCAGAAATTTCGTAAAAGGCCGTCAACTCCAAGTCTGAAAGGATTTGGGGCCCGAGCCGTACTTCTTTAAACCAAAAAGCCCGAAACCCTAAACCCCAAGCTCAAGGCATCTTACATCCCCTGCAGGGACGACTCCTTCAGCCGCTGGCTGGATCCCGAGGGGACCCAGATTGTCCCAGATGTGTTCCTCTCCCTGGATTTCAGCCCAGAGCTTCGGCATCACAAGAGAATAGCTTTGGAGCCGACGACGCCGACGAAGACGATTATCGCCGCTGCTGCTGCTGCTGCTGCTACTGCTGCTCCTCCCTCTGGTCTTCCTCCTACTCCGACTGCTACGTCTATTCCTACTCCGACTCACTCCTACTCCTCCTCCTGCTGCTGACTTTTCGTGGGAACGATTCACGTTGGAGCATGGCCGGAAGCTCTCTACTGCCGCTGACGCTACCTTCTGATTGTTGTTGCTATCAGTATTGCTGCTGCTACTGCCATTGCCCTTTCGTTACCATACCGGTTTTCACTACCATGAGCTTGATGTTTTGTTTTATTTGTCTAGTGGTAGTCTAATATGATTTTCTGGCACAAGGTGTTATCACTGACGATCACCCTGAGTCTAAGCATTGATTCGCCCCAGGAGAAGCACAAGGTCGATGAAGCCTTGTTTCCATGCCGCCCGGACAGCCAAAAAGGCCCCAAGCACCAAAAACACGACGCCAAGGGCTTCAGGCGGGCTGCTTAGGACGAGGACTAGGATGTTGGTTTTTGGTCGCTAGTTGGATTCACCTTGTGTCATGTTCTACTGGGTCCTTAAACCCTAAACCCGAAACTATGAAGGACACGTCGGGCAGCGGTTTAAGGTAGCTTAGCTTAGACGTGCTTAAGGTTTAGTCCTTAATCCCAGGAGGCCAGTGATACTATCCCCATTCATGGAGGAGTCAGGGGTTTGCATCCGGTATCGACAGACTTGTCGCAGGTCTGTGTCTGCAGTCGCAGATTCTCCAAACTGGTCGCTAGATTCCCAAAACCTTACCTTAAACCCTACACCCATGCGGGCTCGTCCTAGCTAAGTAGGAGGGAAAAATCCCCAAACCCTAAACCCTAAACCCTAAACCTTAAGCCCCTAAACCCGAAGCTTTGAACTTTGGATCATGCAGGGGAGCAGTCAGCGCTGAGCTTACACAGGCCACAGCAACAGCCAAGGTGCTCAACATAAGACGGAGGGTCTTTTTGGGACGGGGCTCAGGGGGACTTGGTAGCTTAAGTCGGGTGTTACGGAGGATGTAATTTTTGAGGGCCCCTAAACCCTAAAGCCTAAACCGAATGAAGGCCTGTCCAAACTAAGCCGAGCCGATCCTTCAAGTGTGGGCCCCTTACTGTACCAAGGCTACCTCATCTTCGATGAAGTCGCGCCCGGTGCGAAGGCTTGAATTAGGAGTTTCCGAAAATTAGGGGTACCTTATTTTGGGTCCTTATAATAAGGATCCTATTATTTAGGGTACTATATTAGGGTCCCCTATTTTCGGAAACCCCCAATTCTTGGCTCCACTGTTTGTTGGGGTGGGTCTAGTTCTAGATCGCAAGCATGGCTCAATAGTTTCAAGTCCTACGCCCACCAAGCCCTGCAGATGAACCGTGCACCGTACCCCATGTGCAGGCTGGAGAAGACAAGGGATCAGACTTCAGACCTTAAACATCGAGGGTGCTCATCCGCCAAGACCTGTCAGCAAGCATCCCCCCCAATTTTCGGACGCCCTGCTTGTGGTGGGATGTTGCGGATGCATTCTTGGACGTTGAGGGGCTAAGAGACTCGGGTTCAGGGACTTTCTCCGAAACAGCAGTCGTACCCAAGAGACTCCGAGCTCAAGCTCTGCGAAGGCCTGGCCCCCCAGCTGCGAACCGAGAGCCTTCTTCGCTGAGCCCCCGAACGCTTAACGCCCAGTCCATGCTGATGGCGTTAAGTAGCAGTAGCAGTAGTCGTCGTGGTGGTCGTAGTAGTAGTAGTAGTAGTAGTAGTAGTAGTAGTAGTAGTAGCAGTAGTAGTAGTAGCAGCAGCAGCAGCAGCAGCAGCAGCAGTAGCAGTAGTCGTCGTCGTCGTAGTGGTGGTAGTAGTATTAGTAGGAGCGGGAGTGGGAGTAGGAGTAGCAGCAGTAGCAGTAGTAGTGATAGTGGTAGTGGTAGTAGACCTGGCGACCCGAAGGCCTTGAGGGCGGGCCTGGCCAGCAATGGGGAGGCATGGTTGGAGTGGAGCTCGTCGCTTCGGAGTGGGGCTCCGGGGTGTAAAGGGTTCAGGGCTAAGGGCTAAGGGCTATAGCGAGAATCCGGCACAATGAGCCTCGAGCACTTCTATCGGTGGGTGGCCCGATTTTTCTGATGGTGTTCTAGGTGCTTCGGCTGTAGGTATAGCCTTTGGCTGGTGGGGTTATTCTACATGTGCTGAAGAAACAAGACAGCACTGGCCCTGTCGCAAGCTTTCACGAAGCCTGCCCTTGGGGCTTGTGTGTGTGGGTGCTCCTGATCGGGTTGTGCCACCCCAATCCCTAAACCCCGAACCCTAAATCCCAAACTGAATCTTTGCCTCCTAGCTGGGTGGGAGGCAAAAAAACCCCCAAACTGAATCCATCTGAATCCTCCACCCCAAATCTCTTAGCTGCAGCCAAGGGGCTAGGAGGTAGCCAAGGTTCATACCTCAAAGTCCTCCGTAGACGCTTCATGGCTTCGAGTACAGGCTTTGGCATTTTGGGTTTAGGGTTCAGGTTTTAGGAGTCCACAGCACAGCCGGCGCCTCGCTTCCTGGCATATGCATAGTCCAGGTGTAAAAAGGTTTAGGATTTGGGGAGTGGTGGTCTAGCGCCGTGGTAGTGTTGTACTGGAGCTTCCGTGCGTCCTTTTTTCTTATCCAGCCTGCAAGCCCAACGTGCAAGGCAGACCCCTGCGCCCCTAAACCCTTGCCGGAACCCCAAACCCCAAACCTATAATACGGGCTAGTCCTTGCTAAGTTCGAGCGGGAAAAAGCCCTATAACTTTCAGCGCTGCGTGTCTGTTTTCCGTTTAGCTCCGTGCTGGGCTCTGGGCTCCGTTTCTGCAAAGAACTACATGCACATTCTTTCCTGCTTCAGGGGTCTTTAGGGTTGCGGCCCACCATCCCTTCTGCAAGGCATTATGGTATTATGATTTTTGTCATCAGTTTTGGACTTGTCCCTAAATCCTAAAACCCTAAACCGTACTCCTATAAGCACGGGCGAGTTCCGGGCTTCCCCTTTGCGCGAGAGAGGCAGGGATGACTGACGTGGACTCAGACTTGTTCGGCAAGCTGGCGCATCAGGCCGTGGGGCTTGATCTAGGGTTTAGGGTTTAGGGTTTAGGGTTTAGGGGCCTAAATAGGTACTACTACTATTTTGGGGGGTCCTTAGTATAATTATAGTATAATGGGCCCCAACACCCTATTGGCCCTTATATTAGGGATCTCCGGCACCTGGCCTGGTGTTGGTACTGGTGGGGGAGGTGTGGATACGGACCATGATGATATGATGATCTGGAAAGCCGCCGTGAGAGCGATGGTGATTTCAGCGTGGATGGTAGTGATGATGGACATCATGATCTGCACATGGTTGTGCCACCTTTGGCTGCTGGCCTTCTGCCCATCAGGATTCTGGGATATAAGGCTTCAGGGTTTTACGGCCTCAGGGGCTCGGAAGCAATAAGCTCGGTGTTGAGGGCTTGGGCCTTAGGCCTTCTTCTGCTGGGACTCTTTGGCTTACTGCTTGTGCACTCTACATGCCCGCCTGGCTCTCAACCCTAAACCCTAAACCTTACCCATGGACGCTAGGTTCTAGTCTTCAGGCATGAGGGCTGCGTCGGGATTATGCCAGCTCGTCCTTACTTTATGTCGGAGACAGGCAATGTTTCACCAAAACAGCCTTTCAGGGTCTCAGAAGGGCCGACAAGTGTGCTCCAGGAGTTGAACCTTCGGCCAAGCCGCACATCGGAATCTAGTCTTCACGTGGTGATAGCGAAGGCCAAGCAAGCCCCAAACACCTGCATGCATGAATCTGGCTGCATCCAGTATAAGAGCAGAAGCGCCTGCAGAGTAAACCCACAACCACAGGGTTTGGGGTACATTTCCTGAGCTGGAGGACCAGGACACGCGGGTCCTTTTCATGCGCGAGCCACGCCAGCGCGTCTCGCGACAGGCCGCTGCCGTGCGTCTTTGGGCTTTGCAGAAAGGGGGGAAGAGGTTTGGGTGTCTTAAGGGTTTGGGTGGTTCAGAGTTTGCAGGGTCTGGGCATGAAGGTTTTGGACTTGATAAATGTTTTTTTTTGAAGGTTTTGGACTTGAGAATTATTTTTTTTGGCTTTGAAGCATGGATCTGACGAGACACGTGTGTTATGTGTTTTGGGCATGTAGCCGCCTACCAAAGCTCAGAAAATTTGCACAGTAGGGGCGGGTTCGCGGCTTCTGAGCTCTGGGTGTATTTTGGACTACGAGACGCCGTTCCCTGTGTGAAAGAAAGTTCGAATTGCAACTCGATGGCGCCAGACTTTGGTGGCCCTGTACGTGGTGTTAGGACACAGGCCCGCAGTGGTCGGACGTACTACTGACTCCAGAGCCGAAGCGCTAAACCTCTGAGCCTTAAACATCAAAAAAACGTGTGTTTCACCTCAACCGACCTCGTGCGACGAGCCTCGTCTGGTGTCCGAATGTGAGCGCCTAAACCATAAACCACCATGCCCCAAACCCGAAACCCTAGACCCTAACCCCCAACCCTAAATCCTGAAGCCTAAACCCCAAAGCCTGCGCCGTAAAGCCCAAACTCTACATCCTGAACCCTAAGCCCTAAACCCTAAACCCAAAACCGTAACCCCTCTACCCCAAACTCTAAACCCTATACCCTAAGCGCTTACCCTAAAGCCACCAAGGACACAAGCACATCACCGAAGGCGCGATCTTCAAAAGCTCGGAAGGCCGAGCCTCCACGGGGAAAGCGTGGGCACAATTAGGCCGAATGTAGGGGCCTTAATAATTAGAATAGGGTTTTGGGGTTCCTTTAAAGGGATCCTTAAAGGGTTGTATAAGGGATCTATATAATATTGTTCTATAGTAGGGGCCTTTGGTAATTACTCTAGGGCTTGGGGGTCTACTAGACAATAAGTATAATAAGGAACCACCCCAAATTTGTTAGAAAATTTCTAAGGCTCCAATATTAGGTTTTTTTTAAATAAAGTCGCATCGTACCAAGTTGTGCCTGAAGCTTGGAGCCACGAAGTGGCCGTCTCGCAGTGCAGTCACGAGTACTGTCATGTGGGCCAAGCTGGGCAGTAAGGGCAGCAGTCGAGTCCCTTGTGACAATAGGGCTTCAGGGCAGCGCCCTTCATCAGGATTACGAGGGTGGGGAGGGTTGAAGCCCTATTAGGAGGGTCGACTGATAGGGAAGGTTTTGGTATGTTCTCCCCTTAGTCTGATGTGTTTTCCTTCATCTCGCCGACTCTAAACCACATGCCTCGCCTGGATTGTCCGAGGGTGAGCACCGAGACCTTAAACAGTTCGGACGATTTCGACTTGGTCAGCTGGGTGGTTGGGACAAAATCCTTGAACCTGCAAAACCTGCCTGGAGGTCCAGGGGACTTATTGAGTAGGTTACAAGTAGACTCATACCCTAAACCCTAAACCC